TAAGTAGCATGTTTCCGGGTGGCATATTCAACCACTCTTCTCTATTCATTTGCTAATGCTTTCTTTGCAGAATATGGGGTACAGTCATCTTATTTTCAAAAAACTCTGCAGGTAGTACTGATGGACAGTTTCTTTTGTGACCCACTAGCCTAGATCCTGGTAGATGAATGAATCAACAGGCCTTTGAAAATTGACATTAATTGATCCCCAAAAGTTATTTTATATACCAGATAATTTTCCTCCCCGTATTATAGCAATACTAGAGATTGCCCAGGTTTCTTTGAGGAAATTCTTAAATTAGTGCTACTGGTTGTTTGGTGGTAAAGGAAAGTATTGATGGGTAGATGTATATACACACTTACACATGCATGTAGCCATGTACACAACTCTTGTGAATGTTGATAAGATGATTAGTTTATGATTAATCTTTATTTTTGATTCTTAATGCTTATAATGAATAATTATTTTCATTTTCCCCCAAGGCAGTCAATGAAAAAAATCAAATGATTATTTTACTTTATACATAGTAAGCAGTCAGTACATATTTGTAAAGGGAATGAACAAACAGTGGTCTGGTTTATTCAGGATTTGTACCAAAATGTCTGTATAGTAATTTATAAATAAAGATTTATCTTTGAAAAAAATAAAGATAATCTCTAGTCTTTGAAAATATAAACCTCTTACATAATAGAAAGTTTTTATGGACTCTTCATTTCCTCTCACTTCTTAAGCCACCACCTCTAGACACACTTTGATTCTCTCTCTCTTCTTCCCTCCCCCAGAGTGGAAAATCTCAATATTAATTGGAGTTAAGATGATTGTACTACTGCTGCTAAGACTTCAGCAGATCTCTTACAAGCTAATGTCACGGCATGGGGTCCATTTGCTCTGCATAGCTATTCTGCAGTGCAGTGAGAATTCCTTGATTAATATGCTACATGAAAATAAAATGGATTTGGAAAAAATTATAACATTCTCTCATAAATATTAATTCACATTTGTATGGAATTGCACGTAATTTTCAATATACTTTGGAAGCACCTTCAGTATGAAAGATTTGGTCTCCAAAGAGAATGGCATGGTTTTTTTAAAAGCATAGTGGATACATTATTACGTATCATTTGTTTATTAATCTGATACTCTACATGCATATGATGCAGGGCAGTAGGTGGGTTGTGTGACAAAGGAGTTTTTTTTTTACCCTGTGGGGAGTTTTTATATTACACTTAGAAGTGGTACAATTTAATCACATTATATAGAAGCAGCTCATGATGGAACTCACCTGGTTCCTTCTGCTAGTGTTGCCATTATTCCTGAGTGTCTTTTTATGGCAGCTATTTTGGTTAAATATGAGACTAAACAGAGAACATTTTTGAGCTGAGCAGATGCTTGGCATAGCTAACTGAGGTTGGGGACACTGGATACAGGAATTCAATTCAGCAGCCATTCATTGAATATTTACTATGTGTTAGGCATAGCATGCAAGGTCTAGGCTGTGAAATTAGTGGCCATGTGTGCTTGCTTTGATCCCTACTTGTCCCCTAAAACACTTTTCACCACATTCTCATTGCCTCAGGAGAGCTACCTCTCTGATGGCAGAGGGTTAATCGTCTATAGTGGTAGCAGCCAGATGTTAGACCAAAAGACACTTACTTGCTTTGAAGAGTGTTATCTTTGATATCCTCCTGCTCTAAGTGTAAGGCCTTTCCCCTTTTCTGGGATTTCTTGCTGTTTGCTGTGATCCTTTGTGTATACCAGCACTGCGTGCTAGATTTCTTGGTTTCCTTCTTCTATCACCTTTTCTAGCTTGCTGCACTGTATATTAGAGGCAGCTTAGGCTATTTAAAAATCAGTATTGTGCTTCATAGGTTTGGATGTTTTAACTGGTTGACTCCTTGATTTATGTATTTATTGACCAATATATTGACCACCTACTATTTACCTGGCTTATGTGAAGCACTTATGTGAAGCACTGGGGTTACTGAGATGAACTACTTATTCCCTGCCCTCTTTCACATTCTTTCAAGAGATTATGCACCCAGCTGCCTCAAGGCCTTTGCACAAGCTGTTCTCTCTGTTCAGCGTTTCATATCTAGGTCATATGGCAGTCATTTTATCAGCTCTGACCCTCTACTCTGGACTAGATCATTTCCCTTAGTGTTAGCACCCTCAGCCTATCCTATAGCACTGTTAATTCAGTTTGCAATAATATGTTTTTGTGATTTGATTAGTATTTGTCCTGTAAATTCTAGGCTCTATGAGAGTGGTGACCTTTCCTTCCACTGTCCTAAATATAGGTCAGTGCTGTTTTGACTTGGCATATACTGGGCAGAGAAAACATATTTGTTGAATCAGTGAAGGCCTGAGAACAGAGTGGTTTGCATTATAGGAAGGGTCTCCCTGAGTGGGCAACACTGCTAAGAGTTGTTGAGCTAGAAAAGGGAAGAGTGTGTAAGGGAGGCCTTTTGAGGCCAAGGCAAATCAGTTTAAAGGCTTGCCTTAGTTTGTCCAGGTTGCTGTAGCAAAATGTAATAAACTGGGTAGCTTATGAACAAAAACTTTTATTTCTCACAGTTCTGGAGGCTGGGAAGTCTTAAGGTTAAGGCACCAGCAGATTCTGTGTCTGGTGAGAGCTTGTTCCTTATGCATGGTGCCTGTTCTCACATGGTGAAGGGGCAAACACACTCCCTTAGCCCCTTTATAAGGTCACTAACCCCCTTCAAAACGCTCATGATCCAATCAGCTCCCATCTTCTAAATGGGGATTAGGAAGGATTTCAACATACAAATTTTGGGGAAAGTTGGGTGTGGTGGCTCATGCCTGTAATCCCAGCACTTTGGGAGGCCAAGGCAGTGGATCATCTGAGGTCAGGAGATCGAGACTAGCCTGATCACCATGGTGAAAGCCTATTTCTACTAAAAATACAAAAAAAATTAGCTGGGTGTGGTGGCAGGTGTCTATATATATTTGATCTAGATCTGAAAGGCTGAACAGAGAAAACAGCTTATGCAAAGGCCAGCTACTCAGGAGGCTGAGGGAGGAGAATTGCTTGAACCCGGGAGGCAGAGGTTGCAGTGAGCTGAGGTCATGCCATTGTACTCCAGCCTGCGCAACGAGAGTGAATCTCTGTCTCAAAAACATATATAATAATAATTGGAGGAGACACAAACATTCAGATCATAAAAGTCTCAAAGCCTCAAACTAATAGACCTGGCTGATTTAGGGAGAGATGTCAGGGAGCACCATGCATGTAAAGTTGGGAGTACTGGATACTGGGAAGCAGTTACCTTGAGAAAAGTGGATGTGGAAGGCAGAAAAGAGAGCGGTATTTTGAGGAGAAATGAGTAAAAGGAAATTTTTATTTTGGTTTTATTTTTAAATGTACATTTAGATAGTAAAAAATAATTTAATTGTTCGTTTAAAAATAACTGAAAGAATATAATTGGATTGTTTGCAATACAAAGGATACATGTTTGAGGTAATGGATATCCCATTTACCCTGATATGATTATTACACATTGCATGCTTGTATCAAAACATCTCATGTAAGACATAAGTATATAGGCCTACTATGTACCCTAGAAATTAAAAATTTTTTTAAAAGTGCATTTAGAACTGCAGAAACTGAGAAACTGTGGTGAGGCTTCATGAAGGAGGACTTTCTGTGTTAAGAGGATTAGATCCCCTAGTTTTTAATAACAGAGTGCCAAAACATTTTCATTTTATTGCTTAGTGTGGGCATCATTTCTCACATGTCAGAGGACATTTGCATGTATGTGGTTTGTTTGATGTTCTGAGAGCCCATTTTGCGCATGGTCTCAGAGTTGCAGTAACTTACTCCACGTCTCCTAATGAATAATGTCAGTGCCTGGACACTAAAAGCCAAGGTCTTTTGCAGCCTTGGTGTGTACTGAGCTTCCTCTAGGCACAGAACTCTCTATCAGGTCATGTGACCTGAAATGCTCACCTATAGTTTCTACAGATGCAGTTCCCCAGTCAAGGACATTGATTTCTCATTTCCTACCCACCTCTGCATCCCCAGCCACACACAAGAATAAAAAAAAAAGTTGCTGTTGATCTTGGTGATAATATTGTTGTTACATTTTGAAAAGAAAATGGAAATAAAGGATGCTTAGAGGAACGTGTGGTAAAAATGTAATGCATTAAGGAAACATTTTAATCATATGAATAGACAGTTTGCTGGTTCACATCCACCTGGACCTGATAAATTGAGTCGGGGGCTATTTCTTTTGAATTGAGCATGCACTTAGTGCTCATTTTCTGAAACATAATTGATGTACCAACTTGGTAAATGAGTGCATTGAGCTTCCTGGGGGAATGTCATTGTGTGCTGGACCCAGCACCAAACGAAACAGAAAGCTATTATCCCAGGCAGCAGTGAAATAATTTTCAATGCATATACTTGTGTTTTGTTTATTTTAGTTTTCTGCCCAGTAAGAATAGAAAGGATATATATAGGCCGGGCGCGGTGGCTCAAGCCTGTAATCCCAGCACTTTGGGAGGCCGAGGTGGGTGGATCACGAGGTCAAGAGATCGAGACCATCCTGGTCAACATGATGAAACCCCGTCTCTACTAAAGGTGCAAAAAATTAGCTGGGCATGGTGGCGCGTGCCTGTAATCCCAGCTACTCAAGAGGCTGAGGCAGGAGAATTGCCTGAGCCCAGGAGGCGGAGGTTGCGGTGAGCCAAGATCGCGCCATTGCACTCCAGCCTGGGTAACAAGGGCGAAACTCGGTCTCAAAAAAAAAAAAGAAAGGATATATATATATATATATATATATATATATATATTCGTGATGGCATTAAGGATTCAGGAAAATTGAGAGCCATGTTTCTTAGTTTTAGGTCTTCTCATATCCCACTTTCCTATCCCCCTCCCACTTTGTAGTAACACTCTTTAATATTTAGCCTATATTTGGGGCATGACCCTAGATACCTTTGTAACCACCACTTCCCTTTCCCTGTCTTCTTTTCTACAGAAAGATGTAGCACTTAAGCCTCAGGAACGTGTGGAGAAACGCCAGACGCCCCTGACCAAGAAGAAAAGAGAAGCACTTACCAATGGCTTGTCCTTTCATTCAAAGAAGAGCAGACTCAGCCACCCACACCACTACAGCTCAGATCGAGAAAATGACCGCAATCTCTGCCAGCATCTTGGGAAGAGAAAGAAAATGCCGAAGGCACTCAGACAGGTGAGGAAGCTTGGGTTCGCTCTTTCCTGTGGCTGCAAAATCTCTTCCTTAGGTACTTCCTCCTCTGTGGTTCTTCCTAACAGGTGAAGATATCCTTGGTGGGATGCTGAAGTGGTTGTCACACAAAGCTTTGTGTATACTTTTAAGAGAATTTAAAACCCAATCTTAGTGCTTTTTATGAGGATTTGAAACTTCAGCATGGTGTCCTTTCAGTCAGATGTGCTCTGTTTAACAAAGCTTGATGCTAGTGTTACTGGTATTGAGGGCAGACTCGTCTTAATAGTTGTCAAGATGGACTGGCTTGTAGGGGAGAGATCTTTGCAATTAGGACAAATGGAACAGGTGGATTTTGTCACATACATTGTGCATCTCATGCTTCTGAGGTGCTAAAATGATTGCCGGAGTGTGAGAAGTGCCTTGCTTAGATTTATATTTTCTGGGGAAGCTCAGGTATTGTGGCATCTGGGAGAGCAATGGCAAAGAAATGAATTTGCCTTTTGGTGTCTTAGTTGTTCTCTATAGGTATAATTCAAGACTGTCTTTGTGATCTGTTGATTGTATAAACATCTGATAGTTAGGCTTACTGGCCTGTTAATAATTAGTTTTCAATGATCCACAGGAAAGTATAGCTCTTGGCATTTGGGGAGCCTTTCTGCCTGTGGAAATCCCCACATGAGATGGATTAATAATGAGATATGAAGTTGTCTATAGCAGTTTTTCAGCACAAATCCAGAGGCTTTAGTGCCTGTGTCCTGGGTGTGTTTTATTTATTTTTGGCAGGACCATTGCGTAGGATTGACTATCACTGAAGAAAGCAGAGTAAGGTATTGTGGTTTACAGAGCAGGTGCTGCTAATTAGAAGTGGAACAGGTAATTTTTGGTTTGCAGATGTTTCTCTGCAGAGACAGGGAGATCTGGGATCAAATAAAACAGTGGTTCCCAAACCTGACAGATCTTTAGAATCATACAGTGAGTGCTACTAAACCCAAATTTCTGGTCACTCTTTTTTTTTTTTTTTTTTTGAAACGGAGTTTCGCTCTTGTTCCCCAGGCGGGAGTGCAATGGTGCGATCTCGGCTCACCGCAACCTCCACCTCCTGGGTTCAGGCAATTCTTCTGCCTTAGCCTCCCCAGTAGCTGGGATTACAGGCACGCACCGCCATGCCCAGCTAACTTTTTGTATTTTTAGTAGAGACGGGGTTTCACCATGTTGACCAGAATGGTCTCGATCTCTTGACCTTGTGATCCACCCGCCTCGGCCTCCCAAAGTGCTGGGATTACAGGCTTGAGCCACTGCGCCCAGCCCTATTTCTGGTCAGTCTTTAGGACCTGATGAAATTTGTAGTTTTAGGAAATTTCCTATTTGAACACAGTCAGCCTGGTTGGAAGTCACTCTTAAAAACAATCAAGACTGTATTTGGGTGATGGTGTTAAGTTAAAAGATTGGGAAGATTGAAAGTCAGATGCAGTGGACAGTTTGGTGTCAGGATTCTGTCTCATACGTAGTGAAGAAAATAACCCTGATAAAACATCTGGGGTGATGGGTTTCAGATGGACCCAGAAGGCTTCCAAGGTAATGCCCTAAATCTGACAACCAGCACAGTGTTTCTAAAGCTACACTTGTGTCCTGAAATGCCAGACTGGAGTTATAATAGTAATTATTAGTGTTTATCTAACGCATTCCATGCTGCATTCAGTGAGGGCATTTTTATAGTATAACCTGTAATTTGTACAACAACACTGCCTAGTAGGTAATATCATGGTTTCTTAACAACTAGGGCTCAAAGAGATGAAGTGACCTGTCTGAGGCCTTGGAAATGAGGGAAGGAGCCAAGATTTAGACCCAGATCTCTCTGGTTCCATGGCTTGCTCTGTTTTTTTATATTTGCATGAAGTTTCATTAATTTTTTTCTTGATAGGGAGCTGGAGACAGGGAGGAAAGGCTACGTTCTATGAAAGGTGATGTTCCTGTGGTATTTGCGACTCCTAACTCATGCTCCTCTGTGTGAGATACTTGAGAAAAGTAATTAATCTCAAGTGCAGAGAGATTTCAATGTAACCACACCCCCTACCCTACACCTTCCCTCCCAGCAGGGTAAGAAGGAGGGCTTCTTGCTGAGTTAACACCAAGCTGTGGATCCTCATCCTTGAATCTCTTTCTTCTAGACATGATCTGACTTTTCTATTACGTGTCCTCAAAATTATTTTTTCTACTTCTTTCTACTTTTTAAGACTTTCAAGGTCCTCTGGTGACAGAGTTTTATAATTGAAAAAGAAGGCTAGGGCTTATGCATCTTAAATTTGAGTAGCTTTTGGATTTCATGGCCAACTTTCTGGTACTAATGGTATTTGAAATTAAAACTATCTTTGTTTTAGTTAACATATGTGAAAAGCAAGTATTTTGACTTTTAATGAATCATGGAGAAGGAAAGCATGAATTGTATCTTTGGCCCTATGTAAAACTTCTAAAACCAAGGAGTATTTTATCTTAAGCGTTGATGCCAAAATATACTATCCAATCAAATGTTATATTTCTATTAAGAAGGAATGCAGTGGCCGGGCATGGTGGCTCACACCTGTAATCCCAGCACTTTGGGAGGCAGGTGGGCAGATCATGAGGTCAAGAGATTGAGAACATCCTGGCCAACACAGTGAAACCCCATCTCTACTAACAAATACAAAAATTAGCTGGGTGTGGTGGCGTGCACCTGTAGTCCCAGCTACTTGGGAGGCTGATTGATGCAGGAGCATTTCTTGAACTCTGGAGGCGGAGATTGCAGTGAGCTAAGCTCATACCACTGCACTCCAACCTGGCGACAGAGCAAGGCTGTCTCAAAAGAAAAAAAAAAAGGAATGCAGAAGATGATAATGGAAATAAGGCCATAAAACTTTTCATTTTTAATATTCTTAGAATCACTTGGTCTGTTATGAAATCCCAAACAAATCACTGTTTGGTAACTGCTTATCTGGAAAATGAAGGATTTGGACTTGAATGTTTCTTAGGCTCCTCCCTCTGGTTTCCATAGTTCTTTAAATTTATGAATAACACAAATACAGTGTTGTAGAGGTATGTAACAAGAGTCTGTAGGTCTGAAGGGAATGCTGTTTTGGAGTTAGTCTGTAACTTACATGCTCTGTGAAGACATTTATTTATTTTTAATGTTTTTTTTTTTCTTTAAAATTTTGTTTTCATGTGATATGAAGACATTTAAAGGAGAGGGGTTAGATGGATTTGTCATAGAGGGAGTGGTGTGGTCCATTGTGTATCAGCCCAGACAAGTACCTTCTGTTATGTGTTCATGGGTAAAAGGTGACACATGAGTGTTTAGTGACTACAGTAGATGGTCAAAAAGCTTGTCTGAAGAATAGTTGAGATTGCTTTCCTATCATCCTAGATGCCTGTAACTATCACAATTACTTTATCTCCGCCTTTGCCTCTTATCAGGTAAGGAAACCAAATCGACCATCTCAGCTGGGAGGGGACTTTGAGATGAAAGTGAGCTTTGAGGAGCATTTCTAGATTAGTGGATTGTCATTTAGTGCTTCTTATTGAGAACTACAGATGAAATAGGGAAGAGGTGAGAACTTTAGTCTTTATTTCTGGCTTGGTGAGACTGAATTAGGTTTGCATCTTATTAGGACATGGTACTTCCTGAGCAGACAACTTAATGCACAGCTTTCCTGTAATTATGGGAAGATGTTACTCTTTAGTAGAGAGGAAATAATAGTTGTTGTTGTTGTTGTTTTTTTCTGAGAATCCATTGAAAGCAACTAATCTTTTTACTGAGAGTGTAATTATAATACTTGTATAGGAAAGATGTATCGCTCCAAAACTAAACTGCTTATTCCTTCATTTGCCTAGTTATAAAACTCAAGTTCTTGTGATATTTTTCCATACTACCAAAAGAAAGCTTTTAAACTGACATTTAACTTATTTGTTGGATTATGTTTTTAAGTATAAATACATACTGACTTAAAAGATGCTGAGGTGGCACCTATCTTGGGAAATGGTTGTACTTTTTGATGTGACAAATTTGAATACTCTTCTTCTCAAAAGGTTAAAATGATAATGAAGAAAATAATAAGTTACCTTTTATACAAAATAGCACGTTTTTCTGACCTCTGTAAATGATTTGTTCATGCTGTAAGCACTTAGACGTAAGAAAGAGTTTTATCATTTATTTACAAGGACATGGTACATTTTTTCTTTCTCAATGGAAATTTAGGGGTGGGAAAAGCAAAAGAGCTTGCATAGGTCCTCTCCTTAAGGAGCTTTATTCTCTAATTGGGAGACTAAGTCTCAATGAAACCACTGAGGAGCACAAGGAAGTCACATGTTGTTAAACCTGTAAGCCAAATTACAACTTCCTGAGAAGCACTTTGGGAAAACTTAACCCTTCCTAGGGCATTGAGTTTAGTTTTCTTTCAGTATATCTAACTTCTAGACTATGGGGAATGCTTTAAAAATTTAGGACTTTGTAGTTTAAAACACACAGAGAGAGCAAAAGGGCTTTAAAAATAGAGTAGCAATGATGAAAAGTTGATGAGCATTCAGAGAACTCTCAGATTTGGCTCTGACTGGATTTCTAAATCTCCATTTAGTCCATTAGTCTGTCCTTTCTCTGTAGTATGAACTGAGCCAGAAGAAATAGGCTTAAGTGAGCTAGAAGGCATTTTTAGGTTATATGAACTGTTCTAACAGACACCAAGATGAATCATCAAAGTAAATCCTGTGGTCTCCCTCCTTAACTGAATTTTAGGTGCCAAAAGTTCATTCATCACAGGGCAGAATTTCCTGGAGAAAGAGACTACCTGTTGAGATTGCTTTAGTCACAGGAGAACATCATTTTAGAGGAAATGGGGGGAATTTGTGAATATTTCAGGAACCCACTGGTAGATTTTAACCTTGCTAGTAATGATGGCTTATGTGGCAATGACTTAACATGGTTTAAAAATCTTTATACAAGTTAATCTGGGTAGGTGTTTCTTGTTAGGAATAAA